AGAGAAATCCTTGTAAATTCTGGCAAAGAAAAGATTGTTGAAAGGTGCAAAGGCTTGCAAATTGAACTTTTGCGAGCATTGTGTTCTGGGAAAGCAGAAGAGAGTGAAGTTTGGCACCACTATACATAATACAAAAGGTATTGTAGATTATATTCACTCAGATGTATGGGGTCCTTCAAAGACATCGTCTTTGGGAGGAAACCATTATTTTGTAACTTTTGTAGATGACTTTTCCAGAAGAGTTTGGGTGTATCCGATGAAGTCTAAAGATGAAGTGCTTCAAATTTTCCTGAAATGGAAAAATATGATCGAGAACCAGACTGGTAGAAAGATCAAACGTCTTAGGACGGACAATGGAGGGGAATATAAAAGTGACCCATTCTTTGACGTTTGCCATGAGTATGGTATTGTTCGACACTTCATTGTTAGACATACACCACAACAGAATGGGGTGGCAGAGCGTATGAATCAAACACTATTGGAGAAAGTTCGATGTATGTTGTCTAATGCAGGGTTAGGCAAGGCATTTTGGGCTGAGGCTGTGACATATGCTGGCCATCTCATTAATCGTCTGCCGTCATCAGTGATAGGAGGAAAAATACCATTGGAGGTATGGTCTGGAAAACCTGCTACTGATTATGATTCCTTACATGTATTTGGATCCATTGCTTATTATTATGTGAATGAATCCAAGCTTGATCCGAGAGAAAATAAGGCTCTCTTTATGGGAATCACCCATGGAGTGAAGGGATTCCGCCTTTGGTGTTTAGACACCAAGAAGATAATTTGTAGCAGAGATGTTACCTTTGATGAATCTGCCCTAGTAAAGAAGGTAACAAGTGAAGCTGTCCAGACAAGTAGTACTCCACAGCAGGTGGATCATACACCAAAACAGGTGGAGTTTCAGCAGATGATGATCTCAGAAGTTGATGCAGTTGATTCTTCAACTCCAATAGAAGAATCAGAAGATGAAGAGGTTCAAACCCAAGAACCATTGGAGACACCAGAAACACTTGCAGTTACAAGGCCAAGGAGAGAAATTCGTAGACCTGCTCGATTTGTTGATATGGTGGCCTATGCTCTTCCAGTTGTTGATGATGATATCCCTATCACTTACCAAGAAGCAATACAAAGCTTGGAAAGTGATAAGTGGAAAAGTGCCATGGATGAAGAAATGCAATCTCTCCAAAAGAACGACACTTGGAAACTAGCACAATTACCGAAAGGTAAAAAAGTCATTGGATGCAAGTGGATATTTGTAAAGAAAGATGGATCTCATAACAAGAAAGATGTTCGCTACAAGGCACGGTTGGTAGCTAAAGGCTATGCTCAAAAGGAGGGAATCAACTACAATGAAGTATTTTCCCCTGTTGTGAAGCATTCCTCCATTAGAATATTGTTGGCCTTGGTAGCACAGTTGAATTTGGAGCTAGCTCAACTTGATGTAAAGACGGCTTTCTTGCACGGTGATTTAGAAGAGGAGATCTATATGACACAGCCAGAATGATACAAAGATGGTGGTTGTGAGAAATGGGTTTGTAAGCTGAACAAATCGCTATATGGATTGAAGCAATCTCCGAGGCAGTGGTACAAGCGATTTGATAGCTTTATGAGGAGGCAAAAGTATACTAGAAGCAAATATGATCATTGTGTGTATTTGCAAAAGCTCAAAGATGGATCTTTCATTTATCTTCTCTTGTACGTTGACGATATGTTGATCGCTTCGAAGAGTAAAAAGGAGATAGACAAATTAAAGGCTCAGTTGAATCAAGAGTTTGAGATGAAAGATCTAGGTGAGACCAAGAAGATTCTTGGTATGTAGATAAGCAGAGATAGACAGAGAGGGAAGCTTTGTTTAACACAGAAGCAGTATCTGAGAAAGGTATTACAATGTTTTGGCATGAATGAAAATACCAAACATGTAAGTATCCCATTGGCTTCTCATTTGAAACTTAGTTCTCAATTATCTCCTAAAACTTACGAAGAACGAGTGTATATGGCAAAAGTTCCATATGCTAATGTAGTTGGGAGCTTGATGTATGCAATGGTGTGTACGCGTCCTGACATTTCACAAGCAGTTGGAGTTGTGAGCAGGTACATGCATGATCCTAGAGAAGGACATTGGCAAGCTGTGAAATGGATTCTACGGTATCTCCAACAAACCGTGGATGTTGGTTTAGTTTTTGAACAGGATGAAGCACTTGGTCAGTGTATGGTTGGATATGTTGATTCCGATTATGCTGGTGATTTGGATAAGCGTCGATCAACTATTGGGTATTTGTTTACTCTTACTAAAGCCCCAGTAAGTTGGAAGTCTACATTGCAATCTACGGTGGCCTTGTCTACTGCAGAGGCAGAATACATGGCAGTTTCAGAGGCTGTAAAGGAAGCAATTTGGCTTAACGGGTTGATGGAAAACTTGGGAGTTGTTCAAAGTCACATTAGTCTCTATTGTGACAGTCAGAGCGCTATTCACTTAGCGAAAAATCAAGTCTACCATTCAAGGACTAAGCATATCGACGTGAGGTATCACTTTGTGCGGGAGATCTTTGAAGAAGGAAAGATTCTACTTCAGAAAATTGCGACATCAGAAAATCCCGCAGATATGATGACCAAGGTGGTAACAGTAATCAAGTTCAATCATTGTTTGAACTTGATTAACATCCTGAAAGTATGAACACCTTCGGGTGTGTGGCGCTTGTGAGCGCAATTAAAGGCACTACAAATTTGGGGAGTTGAAGAAGTTGAGTAGGCTTGGTAATTTCAAGCCAAGGTGGAGATTTGTTAGATTTGTCTAGAATTTAAGTTGACAAGTTGGAAATTTCATCTTGGTTGGTGGCCAAACTTTGAACATGTGAATTTCATATTTGGTGGCTAACTTGTACACATTGGAAAATTCTTTGGTAGGTGGCCAAACTTTGAACATATTGTTCTTGAAACTCAACTATAAATAGGCATAAGTATTTCCATTAGAAATCATCCCAAAAACAAGTTCTCTCTTCCTCTTGTATTCTTCATTCTCCCACTTTGGGAATTCCAAAGAATTCCATTTGTTGTAATATTGGCGATATAGTGAAGTTATCATCCGGTGTGGTGCCCGAGGAGTAGACGATATTCTCGTCGAACCTCGTAAATTTAGTGTATTCTCTCCTTTATTATTTTTTATTCGGTTCTTTTTCATTGTGTTTCAATATTCAATAGTTTGACAGGTTTATCCGCTGTGCAACCTTTGGTGTTTTAATCTTGACATTTTAGGTCAATTTTAAAACTACGTTCGTATGGGAAATAACCCGTTTTCCCCAACAGTATTGATAAAACTTATATGTACATTTTCTTTTTAATAAATCCATGATTAAAATAGATCCAACGATGCAAATTTCATCATCAACCCAACAAAGTTGCTCATTGCATATGATCAATGTATCTTATACTCCATGAAAGTTTTGACGAAAATTTCGGCATCGTGTTTCATTTGTGGGGGACCCTTGGAGAGATGTGGGGTGTGACACCGGTTTTATTAAAAATAATATATTTATAATTTGAAAAGAAAATATTATTCCAATCTAATCCCAAAAGACAACCTTACCCGACGGTGTTGTGGGACCCACTTAAATCTTACGTGGCACGTGACAAATTTTAAAGAAAATGAAAACCAATTCGGTTGCGAGCATCTAACGACGACTTACTTTGTCATCATTTAAATATAGATAGGAATAAAATAAAATGAGAGAATGATCATTTGACATATTGAGAATGAAATAAAAATATTTCACAATAAAATATTTATTATTTTAATGAAATGAAAATTTCAACTTCATTTTATTAAATAAAGTTTGAAGTTTAAATCATTATATTATAATTAAAACAAACTAAATTATGAATATCATTCTCTTTATAATTTTTTTTATAATATTCAATTTAAAGTAATTTATCAATATTTGTTTGATCTTTGTCATCTGATTTTCTTGAATATTGAGTAAAAGTTGAATGTAAAACTTCACCTGCATGGATAGGATACTATACTTGAAGAGACAACAAAGGACGAAAGAAAAAATAAAACCAAAATATTTTACATGCAAAAATAAATAAATAAAATCATAAGGGGGACCAACCCGAGAAACAAAGGTACATTCGACAGTGACACATCCACCCATAAGACTACCCCACCAAGGCCAACTTTTTTTTTCTTTCATTATTACGTTCTTAGTAGAAACAATTATTATTTAATTATTACAAATTTTCATCTAGGGTTTTCTCTTTCTCAAGACAAGCATGCCCACTCATCATATCTTTTCCGGGCACTGTAATAATAAAACAACTCACTCTAAATTTAAATATTATGTTGTTATTTTTATCTCCTACTTCCTTCTAGATTTGAGATTAGTACATTTTTATCATCATAATAGATAATCTTTCTTTTTAAAGCGTAAAAGTGATATTTTCGATTATTTATCTACAAAATGTTCGTATGTACGTTATCAATTAATTAAATCTTTTTTTAAAATATATATTACTTTATAACTACTCTAAACAATTAAAAAAATTAGTTTCAATAGTTTTAAAATTACTCTCACCTATAGCATGCTTGTGTCTCTATTCTCTAACCCTTAAGCAATCTCTGGTTAAATGAAGTGTTAAGTGTTATTCTCTCATAGATTTTGGATTCGAACAGTTGTGTCTACAAGGTGTATGCATTATCAATGATTAAAAGGTATTATAAATATATACTATCTTATAATCATCTTAAACTATTTAAAAAATTGAAGTAAGACTAATACATTATGTGATCGTCATGAACTATGTATTTCTCTTTAAAGTACAAAAATAACATTCTCAATCATCTAAATAATACACAAATTTATTTATAGTCAGTATTAACTCTTATTAATTCAAACCATAAAAGGAAGTTTAATCAAACAAAAAGAGGGACTGGGATGATAAAAAACAAAATATAAATAAACAAACACTTCCCTTCCCTTCCCTTTGCTTTCCTTTTATTTTCATCTTCTTCCTGCATCTCTCGCTTGTTTTTTATGTGATTCTCCACCATATCACCACAAACCCTTTACAAAAAGATTGAAAGCTTAAGCTCAATAAACGCCATGGCTTTCTCTTCTGTTCCAGTCTATCTAGATCCCCCCGATTGGCAACAGGTAAATTTTCTTTTTCTTTTTTAAACCCAGATTTTCTTTTCTTTCCTTGGCTGGCTTCTTCTCCAAGAAAAATATAAGTAATATTCTTACCTTTTTTCTGATCTTCACTTGAATATACCATTTATTTGATCTTCTTCCTTTACTTTTTGTGAGAAGTTTTTGCAGCCACAAACTCATCAGCAAGCTGGAGTTATCAATAATGAAAGGCATGGTAATTTTCAGCTTCCACCACCATCCACGGCGGCCGGTGATGGTGGCGCAGGCGGTAAAAAGTCTAATTCGATGGCGGAACGAGCCAGACTAGCTAGAATCCCACAGCCCGAGTCGGCTCTCAAGTGCCCTCGTTGTGAGTCGACGAACACGAAATTTTGTTACTTCAACAATTACAGCCTTTCTCAGCCTCGCCACTTTTGTAAGACCTGTAGACGATACTGGACTCGTGGTGGCGGTTTAAGGAACGTACCGGTCGGAGGTGGTTGTCGGAGAAATAAAAGAAGCAAGGGGAGCAATAGATCAAAGTCTCCTTCCGTCGTTTCCGGACGTCGAACCGATTCGACCTCGTCTTCCGGTACACTTGCTTCTAATAGTTGCACTGATATTTTAGGCCACACGAACCTATCAGTACCACATTTGCCACTATTTCCCCCCTTACATTATCTCGGCGACTACGACTCTGGAGATATCGGGCTGAATTTCGGGGGAATTCAACCTCAGGTGGCGGTGACAGGCGGAGCCACTGACATGGATTTTCAAGGCTCAACAAATGGTTTAGTGGAACAGTGGAGATCACTGCAACAGGTTCAGCAATTTCCATTTTTGACTAGCTTGGAACAGCACCAAAATGGGTTATATCCATTTGAAAGTGAAGGTGTCCGGCCATCACCGAGTTACGACGGTCACCATCCGCTCCGATCTAAGCCATCAGGGAGAGCTATTACTCAGCTTGCTGCTGTTAAAATGGAAGACTTTCAAGGATTGAATTTATCAAGGAATTTCTTGGGAATTTCAGGCAATGATCATCAATATTGGGGTGGCAATGCTAGCAACTCATGGACTGATCTTTCTGGTGATACATACATACATGCATGCATGCATATATACATACATATTCTTCCCTCAAAACTCAATTTAATACTTGTTTTATTTACAGGTTTCAACAAAGAGGATTCAACATTCAAGTGATAGATAAGTTTTTGCAAATTTCAAGTTTCCAATGGAGTAAAACAAGAGTTCAATTAGGAAATTTAATGGTAAATTTCTACTCCTGAAGAAATCTATTAGCTTGCTGTTCATTTCAATCTTGTTGTGTTTCTATATGCTATTGTAATGATTCAAGGAATTGGGCAGGTTTTAATTGATTGTATGAAATATATTCATGGAGACGGTAAAAGAGTGATTACGAGAAATTGTAAAATTTTAAATTCAAAACCATATATATTAAATTTTAAATCTTAAATAAGATGAATGACATTAATGTAACCTTATTTACAAAATATTTTTCACCGCCAATATATAAAATAATAAGTTATTAACCTTTATAATTACTCAGTCGAGTTAAATACTACTTTCTATCATACCTGAAACTGTGAGCTTCAATCCCTTTCATGCAATGAGATAATGATATCTATCAAGGAATATAAAAAAGAAATTCTTATTTTAATCAAGCTGCAATAACTTATAAACTTTGTCAACAACGGTGTTCTCTTGCATCACATTGCTTTACTTCTGTCGTATGCGAAATACTTCAATATTGTCATATCCTAATTCAACCTTTGTCAATTCCAGACGTTAAGCATGTTTTAAAATATCGCAAACAACTTACCATTGTGTCGTTAACATGAATGTTATAACTTTAATCGTATCATATTTATCGCGATTTTAGTTAAAATAGTAAAAATATGCAGTTAATGTAGTTTCAGTCTTTTTTTTTTTCTTTCAACGACGACTGTGTGTTGAAGATAAAGTGAATTCAATTGATTCGCTGCTGCTGTGGGGGATCACTGATCATCAGAATCTCAGTTGTCGCTTTAATCATGTTCGATGGCAAATTTCAAATTCCTAAGATGTTGCTTTGTCTCACATTTTTAGGGTTTTTAACCTTTGGTTAGTTATTTTTCACCCTACCAATAATCCAAAAATAATAATATATAATTATTTTGTCTTCAATGCATTTATGTGTTTGCCCATCCCCATATTGCCATTCTTTCTGTGTTTTTTTATTAAAAAATAATACGATAATTATGAATAAAAATTATAAATTATATACTAAAAAAATGAAAACGAAAAGCGCCAAAAATCCCACTCAAAACCATGCAAATGATACTCCATTTTTGTCAGCATTTTTTTA